TTGTATTTTTAGTAGACACGAGGTTTCACCATGTTGCCCAAGCTGGTCTTGAACTCCTGAGCTCAGGCAATCCGCCCACCTCAGACTCCCAAAGTGCTAGGATTGCAGGTGTGAGCCACCACGGCCAGCCCACCCAGCTACTTTTTGTATTTTTAGTAGAGATGGGGTTTCGCCATGTTGGCCAGGCTGGTCTCGAACTCCCAACCTCAGGTGATCCGCCTGCATCCACCTTCCAAAGTGCTGGGAGCCACCTTGCCCGGCCAGATATCCTGATTTTAAAACTCTGCATTCAAACAGCAGCCCCAGGCCATAGACATCCTCTAGCCCGGAGGCACAGATTGCTACCACTATGGGTTCCTTGTAAGTTTTAAAATTTGTTTTTCAATAAATGATGCCTGCATGTGGCTCATAATTCAAAAATTACTGAAAGGTATATCGCAAAAACCTACCTTGTCAACCAGTTTTGCACACATATTTTAGGTTCTTCAGATGACAATGCAAACCTGAGCTGGGTATGGTTTCACACACCTGTCATTCAAGCTACCTGAAAGGCTGAGTCAGGAGGAGGGTCGTGTGGGCCCAGGAGGTCGAGGTTGCAGTGAGCTATGATCACATCTGTGAATAGCTACTGCACTCCACCTGGGTAACATAGCAAGACCCTGTATCTTTAAAAAAAAAAAGTGTAAGCAAAAAACATATGTAAGCAATTGTGATTGTATCTATGTATATATTGTGTATGTGTTTATCATTCCTTTTCCTTAAATTATTAGCATAACATAAAAATCATTTATGCTTTTTTTGAGATGGAGTTTCACTCTTATTGCCCAGGCTGGAGTACAATGGCACAATCTCAGCTCACTGCAACCTCCATCTCCTGGGTTCAAGTGATTCTCCTGCCTCAGCCCCCCATGTAGCTGGGGTTACAGACATGCGCCACCACACCCAGCCAATTTTGTATTTTTAGTGGAGACGGGGTTTCTCCATGTTGGTCAGGCTGGTCTTGA